GATGTTTATCAAGGTGCAACGGCCAAATCTAATGAAGACGACCAAAAGGAATATGGGAAAGCTGCGGCGCCTTTGATTCAACTAATTGATGAAATGGGTCCTCAACTGACGCCTCTTCCATTTCGCTTTTACATTGACAACCTGTTTACTTCAATGAATCTGTTAGTGTACATGAAATCAAAAAATTATGGTGCTACAGGTACCATAAGAGAAAATCGTGTACCAAAAAACTGTCCTATTCGTCCAGTCAAACAAATGAAGGAAAAAAAACTAATCGTGGAACATTTGAGTATGCTTTGGCAAAAAAGGATTCAATTTTAGTAACCAGATGGAAAGATAACTCTGTTGTAACAGTTGCATCTAACGTTCATGGAATACATCCAGTAGCAACTGCACAAAGATATTCCGCTGCGAAAAAAAACGAGTTGGAATTCCAAGACCCGACTGCATCACTAAGTATAACAATTTTATGGGAGGCACAGATCAGATGGACGCAAACGTGAACGTTTACAGGATTGGTGTTAGGGGGAAGAAATGGTGGTGGTCTATCTTCACATGGCTAGTGGACGTAAGCATACAAAATGCCTGGTTACTGGCAAAAAGCAATGGGCGTAAAATCTCTCAACTTCAGTTCCGCAGAGAAATAGCTCAATGCTACTTAACCAAGTATCAGATGCCACCCAAGAGTGCTGGTCGTCCTTCAGCTACATCCAAACAAAGCAGAGTTCATGAAAACATCCAATTTGATCATTTGGATCACATAATTGAGTATGTGCCACAGGAAAAACGGCGTCGATGTGCGGGTATCGCCCATACTGCTCAAGCTAGTGCAGTTAGAACGCAATGCAGCAAGTGTAAAGTGGGATTGTGTATTTCCTGTTTTGCAGAGTTTCACAGAAAATAAATAGATTATTTGTTGTTAATTGTATTATTGACAACATGATTTTTAAAAACTATATTTATACCATTTTTTTACATACCCTATTTGCCTAGCGTGCCATATATGACACGGTCCGTAATTCCATAAACACAAAATTTTAAAAATATTTTATTAATACAAGAAGCTTTATAAGTATGTATTTAACAAGATTACCAAAAAAAAATTACAAAATTGAAAAAAAAAATAATTCCGGCAATAATGGGTTAAAAGCTATGTTGGCAACAGTTGCATGTAAACACGTAATTTAATTTTTAACCAAGTTCAGAGAGGGCGCTTCATTTGGCTTCAAACTAAATACTCTTTAAGATATTCATCTATTGGTTTGGTTTAGGAGTACATGGTTGCCAGGTCTGGGGGTTTTTCCCCATTTCTGGGCAAAACTAATTTAATTCGGGGATTTGGGGAAAACTTAAAAAAATATAAAAATCTAGGGATTTAAAAATACTATCACACATACAAAAAATATTAATAATAAACAGTAACACAAAGACTCGTCGATCGCATTATCTAATAGCTCTAGCTGTTTAAATTCGCTTCTAAATCAGTGTTTCCAGAGAAGACTCAAAATGTACTAGATTGTAGATTTGTACAATTGTACTGACTCTGGCAACAGTGTTATAAATAAGGAAGAATTGACAAATCCTTGTAATAATTCTGTAATTCCCATAACTTTCTGCCTTGTAATAATTCTGTAATTCCCATAACTTTCTGCCGAGCCGTGCTTTAAGGATACAAAGACAAAGCCGATATTTATATTGGGTAATGGGTATTTCGCTTGCTTCGCATCTTATTATTATGTGTAATATTAGGGGCTGTGGTTGTTTTATTAGCCTAGCTCTAAGTACCAACAGAAAATATAAGTTTACTGTCAGTTGCTTACAAGATAATAAAGGCTCGATTAATTTGTCATTTGGTATATTTTTAAATCGTGATACAAAAAAATATACTTAAAAATCAAAATAGAACTTCTACAAATTTTGATATAAAAAATACAATGTTAAAAAATCATAATAATGACATGTATAAAAAATAATTTTTAGGAGCATTGTAAGTAATTTGAATGTGTACTTATACCAAATGTAACCAACTATTGTTTTAATGAAAAATTGTCTTTTTTGTACCAAAAACCAAATGTGGGAAATTTTAGCCTAATCTGGCAACTTCTAGAAAATAATAGGAGGATTTTACCTGTAAAGAATAATACCAAATTATGGTATATCACACTGATCGATAGATCGTAAATTTATTTCAAAATATGTTTTAAAATAGGCCTATACCCTGTGTAGGTATAATCCAGAGAAAATTGGTAAATATTCGTGCCTAAGGGTGTTCTTCGCCGCAGAGGCATAAGACTCCACGGCAGCCAAGGCGGAATGACGATCGAGAAGCAAGGGGCATTTTGATTTGTGCAAGTGTAGAGAAAGACCTTACACAATTTACCAGAAAACTTGCTGATCAGTTTGATATTTCTAAGAATACGGTTTTCAAGACATGGGTATATTCCTTGTAAGTTGAAGAGGGGTAACGAGCAACACCTAGGCGACAGATCGCCGCATAGAATTTTGGGAATATGTAATGAATAAGGCGAACAAGGATAATAATTTCAGTCCAAACATCCTTTAGATGGTCGTCACAATTCCCAAAACTTCCGCTGGTGGGTAAGAGGGGAAAATCGTCATAAGGTGTATGCTGCCCGAACACAGCGCCCCTTTAAATTAAATGTTTGGGCTGGAATTCTTTGAGACCATATCATTGGGCCATTTATTATTGATAGTAATCTTAATGGGCGAAAGTATAAAATATAAAATCAAATTGTTCCGGCACTTCAAAATTTGGCAATTTCTTTTGAAACCATATAGTTTCAACAAGACGGGTGTCCAGCACATGATACCTTGTTTGTCAGAGAATATTTAAACGAAAACTTTCCGAATCGCGTGATAGGTCTTCATGAAGGTATTCTTTGGCCTCCAAGATCACCGGATTTGATTCAGTGTGATTTTTTTTTGTGGGGACACGTTAAGTCAAAATGTTATGGATTTTAAAAGCGGTGGGCTAATAATCTCGATGATTTAAGGGTACAAATCTTTAATTCATTGGGAAATATTGGTCCTGAAATGCTGTTTAACGTGCCAACAGTAGTAATTCCAGAAAGTGCCCGTAAACCAGCCAGCAGGACGAGATGGATATATGACTTAGTTTAAAATTATGGAATTTTAAATATAATTAAAATATCACGGAAAATGCAGAGGATGATGCCCAAGATTTATAAAGTTTCATCAAAGTAAAGTAACACGCAGAAGGCGCAAGAATTATGTGTCCCTTTATAAAATTGCGAACCAAGATGGCATTACGCAAAATTAAATATCTTTAGGGTGTAAAAATAAAAATAATTATGGCTACGGTGCTCATACTGTTACAGTATTGTTTAAAATACCTTAAGTTTAACTTAATCACAACGATTTCTTAAACCAACAGCGAAAAGATTTGATTTGATACCGGGCAATAGAAACATCTATAGATACCTGAGTGATGAATTAAAGGCAGTGGTATTCCCTGTAATTGAATGAAATTCTTTCTGCGCCCATCCTGAAAACATTTTAATAGCCATGCTATTTGATGAGAGGAGGCACATTAGATAGTTAGGGCTCAGAAGAATGTTAAAGGCCAGACAGTCTGCTTCGACTGGAAAAGGGATTAGGAACTTTCACACTCCTTCACTTAAATTTGACGCATTAGATTACACGGAAATGATAGATTGGAGCACTACAAAAATATTGTCTCCACCTCTTCTCCGTGGGATAAGTGATGAAGAAATCAAAAGCGTCATACAATCGGGTGAGACCCCGGATTGGGATATAAGAGAGTTCCCATATTACACGCAAGCTGTGGAGCGTTGTGTTAAGCTAGTTACCGAAGCTTCTCTCAAGGTATGCGGGCCGCAATCAAGGGATGGATACATTAGGGCAACACTCAAATCGAAAGAGTCAATTAACGAATTCAGCAGTAAAGCAGATTACAAAGTGACATTGAAAAGGTCGGAATAAATCGGCACACACCCTTAATGGAACTCGAAGTGTAGCCACCTCATCGTGGTGAGTTCTGGGTTGTTTAGATAATAAATTAAAATTAATTAAATAATTTCTAAGCAAGCCAAGAGCTGCACATTTGTATATGTAAACTTACATACATCTTTTGTAAATATTTAGACGCTTTGCGCGATCGGAAGATATGGTTTAAAAGTGGTGATATTTTTTCTGCAGGCAAGTCAATACTATTACTAACGTTTAAGCACCGTAGCGCTGCAAACCTCAAGATAAAAAAAAATATATGCGAAAAAACTGTCAAATTCGTATTTTTTGAAAACTTTGGGCGTTTTGCGCGATCGGAAGATCCGAATTTAATATATTTTTTTTGTTATGCTAGTATACACCTAAGGCAACTTTTGCGCGGTATAGCGAGTCAAAATTTCAACTTTGAAATTTTTCGATCCACCCTATATTACACAGTCGCATGCTGTTATGAAGAGAAAAAGTTCTTCTATAATCACATGAAATCAGGCTATGGCATTTAAAGACGAATTTATAATCAAGGATTGGGGCGAGATTTACAATTGCAACATCTTTGACCCTTACATGTTACCACACTGCTTTAATTCCGTAAACTATTTAGAATTTTTGGAACAGAAAGTCGCAATACATAATATGTGGGATGGAATTAATACGTAAAGAGAAGGTTGGTTCCAACTTAATGGATATTTAGCTTATTTTGGTTGTAATCCAGACTGCTTGTGCAAATATTAAAATATTAATAGCAATGTTTTAATTAGAAATTACTTAATACCATAAAAAATAACTTTTTCTCAAAGAGAAAGCAAAATGGATAATAGTTTATTTGAAAAACTACCTTTATTTTTTTAACTTTCGGGTGTTGAAGTTCTGACGGTGTAAAGTGGACCAGTCTGTATTTTATTTTTTAAAAGTATCATTTTTTTGTGTGTAACAAAATATTTAATTTTGAAGTGTCGTTTAAAAAATAACAATTTATATTTAAAAAATCTTACCAACAAAATCTGTATAATTGGAATCTAATACAAATTTTCCCAATCCTAAAGTTTCTTCAAAATCATCATCATCAAGGAATTTTTCACTGTTAATTGAGTCCTGTTTTAATGATTGGTAAAATAAATTTTTAATTTGGGCTGTATTTATTTTTTCATCCAAATTTTTTAGTTCCACGAAATAGTCCACCAAGACACTTCCTTTGCTTAAAAAAGTTAGGTTGATTAATATTTAATGGTTTAAATTTTAAAACTTAATTTTATTTTAGTGTTTAGAGTTTTTATTTATATTCCCAAATGGATTAGCAATAATTTTTCCAAAAATAAAAGTTTTTAATAGGTAATTAGAAAATTTTGGTAATTACTGTCGTAAAATACATCCGTCAACACTGTCAACCTCAGATGCCTTATTTAAATTGTTTTCATAAAAACCAATTTTAAACGTGAAATAAATCAACATAGGTAAGTTTAAAATAATCCCGCCTGGTATGGTTTTCTTGTGCCGTATTTGGGATTCCCTGTATATATACCGTTTACAAAAATGATAAATATACCTACATAAAAATCGGCAACAACAGCTTGAATTTAATTTTCTGTAAACTATATTTACAAATTTTAGTCTTTTTTATACCCATATAAGATAATTAAAGGATTAAAGTGATAATTCAAATATATACCTACCCTAAAACACTACCCTTTGTACGGTTGTACCCCAGCCTTTCTTGAAACCACTGCCAATTATCGATGGCAACTCAGAAATGTTTGTTTAAATCTTATATGTACTATGCTCCAGACAAAAGTATTACTTTGACATTTATTTATTATCTATGATTTAAATACAAATAATTAAGGTTATCTATATGTCATTTTAACGCTAATTTCATCTTGTTTCTGAAAATAATACAATATATATATATGCGACGCGCTCTGAGAAAAGAAACCTAAGCGCCCCAGCGTTAGTTTTAGAGGAGAAAGGAGGCAGGCGCTCTAAACGGCGGCACAAATGTTTAACGCTTTGTTATATGCAAAATATTCAAGTAAACTTATTACTGACTTTAGATAATTAACCACACTTGGATAACTACGAACGCATATATGCGTAACAAGTCGCACATGAGTGACCACCATCGATAAACCGCCTAACCTTTGGGTTAGTTTTTAGTAAGAATGGCAAAAAAAACTTTTTAAAGGCCAAAAGAGCCGAAATACAAATAATGTGTGTGGTCTAAACGAACAAAAAGTTCAAAAATACAATTGGAAGTCAAGATACATACCTTGCCAGGTTTATGATCCACCGGACAGTGGAATTGAGTACGAACCTTTGGAATCTAGTAGTGACAGTGAGAAAGAAGATATATATGAGATTAAAAATGAAGACCAGGAGGACGAAGAAGGAACTTGGAAGGAAAATGATGCACAATCTGATCAAGATCTGAAAATAAGTACGTCCACCTCAAAATTCGGTGAAAGTAAAAAAACAATTCCCAGGTATTTCCAATTTAGGCCTATGGCGTGTCCGGGGTAGGTGAAAATCTTCCTGTCGATCCAAGTGATGCAGGATATTTTAATTTTTTGTTTCGGGACATTGCGGGAATTATTGTCACAGAATCAAAGGGGTTTGCCTTACAACAAATTGCTCTTGCACAGAACAAAAAGGAAACACCCAAAAGCTACCTACGTAAATGGAGAGATATGGACACTGATGAGTTTTATGTTTTCATTGCTGTGCTAGAAATAAGAAAACGGACATAAATGATCATTGGTCCAAAGATCCGTTACTTGAAAGCATGGTTATATTCAAGGGTCGACTGATATTTAGGCAATATATAAAGTTAAAAAGTTATATTTTTGTGCGATTCATCGACCGGATACATTCTGGATTTCCATGTTTATATAGGGAAAAAAACAAAAAGCCGGCCTTCGTGTTTCTGGGAATGTTGTGATAACCCTTCCCTGCTTAAAATACCCCATAGAGACCTATACAAAATAATCTATCGGGCGCTACTGGATTCAATATGTGCATTTGTCCATGGTTTTTTCCGGATACGGCCCGATAGAAAATTTATAGGAAATTACCCATAGGCACACCATAACTTTTACATTTTCCCTATTAAGACCGATAGCAAATAACTCAATGAAGGATATATGGGGATATCCCTATAGAGCAACCATAAAACATTTGACAAAATTTTATTAAAACCTATGGGGTTCTATGGGGGAAAACTAATTTCTACATTTATGTGTATTTTTCCCATTGAAACCAATAGCAAATAAATCAAGGGTGGATATCCCTATAGAACAACCATAAATCCGAACTATGGGTCCTATACATACCGATACACCCTATAGAAGCACCATACATTCCGATACAAATATCTATCGGTTTGAACAGGGTCTCTATGGGATATTTTAAGCAGGGTTATGCAGCCTTATCTAAATAATGGCCGTACTTTATATACTGATAATTATTATATATATATACAGGGTGTCCCGGGTTTAATGATCTTAATTTTACCAGTGGGTAGAGAATCAAAAAACAAAAGGAATTTCCAAGGAAAACATGTATCTAAAAATTGAAAATAACTGAGATACAGACCTCCAAAGTTTGAAACTAAAATTCGTTTTTTCTCATAACTTTTAAACCGTTTGACTGATTTGGCTCAAATTTTAAACATATAGTAAGGAAATACTGACTCACGTACTGCCTATAACAATTGGGGGTTTAGGTTCCCTTTTTCCGACATATGTTTACGCCACTGACCTTTTTTTGAATTTTTAATGATCTTAATTTTGCCAGTGGGTAGAGAATCAAAAAACAAAAGGAATTTCCAAGGAAAACATGTATCTAAAAATTGAAAATAACTGAGATACAGACCTCCAAAGTTTGAAACTAAAATTCGTTTTTTCTCATAACTTTTAAACCGTTTGACTGATTTGGCTCAAATTTTAAACATATAGTAAGGAAATACTGACTCACGTACTGCCTATAACAATTGGGGGTTTAGGTTCCCTTTTTCCGACATATGTTTACGCCACTGACCTTTTTTTGAATTTTTAAATTCTGCGTTCAACTAGGAAAAGAAAGTTACTTTGGTAAATTTTTATTAGCTCTTCGTTACAAAAATATTCGAGTTTGAGTGGAATTAATACCTACTTGAAAATGGGTAACAAGTAATCGCTTTACCATAGCATCAATTGATGACATTTCAGTAAACAGTGTTTGTTTGTACTTCAAAAAAGGTTTTCTGTACGTGTAGTTTTTCCATAATTAATTGAGAAATGCCCTTTGCTTTCTCCAATCAAGAGTATGCCGACATACATTTCATTTATGGTTTTGCAAACGGGAATGCCGCTGAGGCACGGAGAGAATACGCAAACCGTTTTCCGCAAAAAAGGTTGCCACATGCGCGTGTATTTCGTGCAGTACATAGGCGCATTTGCGAAACTGGAAGCTGCAACATTATCAATCCAAGAGGTAGAAATGCAAGAGGGCGAGGTGATCAGCAGCAAAGACCTTTAAATGGTGTACAGAGAAGAAGACATGCACGCACATTAAGGCATTTCAGGGATAATCCGCTCACAAGCCTTCGTCAAGCACAACGACAACTGGCGGTGCCAAGAAGTTCGATATGGAGAATTTTACGAAACGACAGGATGCGGCCCTACCATTTTCAACCAGTGCAGGGATTAGAAGATGGCGACAATGAACGAAGAATGGAGTTCTGCCGATGGATATTAGAAAACGAAGGTAGATTTTTGCAAAATAAAATTCTGTGGACAGACGAAGCCATATTCACGAGAAGAGGGGTGGTAAATTTCCACAATCTTCATACATGGGCGCACGAAAATCCCCATTTTGTAAGAGAACGAAATTTTCAAAGAGAATTTAGCGTCAATGTGTGGTGTGGATTACTTGGAAATCGCCTCATCGGGCCGTATATTCTTCCACCACGTCTGAACTCTCAACTGTTCCTGAGATTTCTACGGTATAATCTTTATGAATTGTTGGATGATCTACCACTAAATATGAGATTAAACCACTGGATCCAGCTGGACGGGGCTCCGGCTCACTACGGAAGAGTAGTACGGGAATGGCTGGATACCAACTACAATCAAAGGTGGATAGGACGTGGTGGTCCAGTAGCTTGGCCTCCGCGTTCACCAGATATAACTCCTATGGATTTTTTTCTTTGGGGTAGATTGAAAGATATAGTATACCTAACCCCTGTAAGGACCCAAGCAGAACTTAACTTAAGAGTAAGGCGAGCAGCAAATGAACTCTCAGCACAAGAAATTTCAAATGCCACCGGTTCTGTTAGACGTAGAAGTCAAGCGTGCATAAATGCAAATGGGTGGCATTTTGAACAAAACTTATAATTTTTTTCTTAGCGTAATCACAAAAAACGACTTGTTATTTGACATAAGAACCTTCATAATTTTATGTTTTATTAATTGCGGCTTAATATAATTGTGACAGAGACCTAAATTTTACGAAACGTTCATTCTCCGTGTCAATTAACTGTAATAGTTTTTCATAAGAACGATACTATTTGAAAGCATGCGGTGGTTTGAACGGACACCATTTGTACAAAATTAATCTTAAATTAATAGTTATTGTTTTAAAAAAATAATCCGAACATAATGTAATTTATGGGTTGCTAATTCGAATAATTGAATAGATATTTTTTTTAGTATTGACGTAAACAGAAAAAGTATTGCTTTAAAACAGGATAATCTGTACTTTGGAGGTCTGTATCTTAGTTATTTTCAATTTTTAGATACATGTTTTCCTTGGAAATTCCTTTTGTTTTTTGATTGTCTGCCGACTGTCAAAATTAAGATCATTAAACCCGGGACATATATATATATATATATATATATATATATATATATATATAATATATATTCGTCTAAAGCGAAAACAAATGCCCAGCTTGAATCCAAAGCTGGATAAAAAAAAATATTAAAATGTAGCATTACATTTACTCGCTATAAAATAGAAAGACTTTTGAAAGAAAGACATTAAAAAAGGTAAATAGGGAAATGGGTAAAAACAAAATAAAACCAATATGCAATGTACAATAAAAACATGGGGGCAATTGATCGTAGCGATATGACGATCAGTTATATTAAATACGTCCGCAAGACATGGTATGAGAAAATATTTTTTTCACACTGTTGATCTAAGCCTTCTGAATGCCCAAAGCCAAATAAGAAAAGGTCAAGTGCTGAAAGACAAAATTTAATATTTTATTTAATTCTGTGACAACATAACTTTTCTAGGCACATGAAAAAAACAATCGTAAATAAACGCCCTTCTACGTTACCTAACAGACGACTATAAAGTCTATAATTCATAATCAATTTTTGGATTCTTAGGTCTCTTCTCTCGGAACGCGTCACATATGTATTTTTTGTGTATAGGTTTTAATTTAGAACACAGAAAATACATCTATTGTAGTAGATTCAGAAAATGAGCGTTAAAATGACTGATGATAGATAACCTCAATTATTTGTATTCAAATATCAAAGTGGGACTTTTGTGTGGGGAGGATAGTACATGTCAGTTAATTTGGTAAAGTCTATGCAGTGACACGTGTCTTTGTTTTCTGTAAAACCTGTGTTTGGGGTACAAGTATGCCCCTGGTTAGCATTGCCGAGTTATGCCAGCGCAAGGCATGTGTAGCAAATGCGAACAAGAGGTTTGCTTAGGTATAAAAGTTTATATTACAATATAAAATAAAACAGAACATTTACAAAAAAACTTTTCGTAATTTAATGTGGGCAAATTTAGAGAAAACACTAGTCAAATAAATATTCCTATGTAAATCTTTTTTTTTGTTCATTTAAATGGCTAAAAAAAATGTATTAACTTTTTACTGTCCTATTTATAATTCCTGGTAGTTACGATACTTATTACTTATTAAACATTAGACTGTTAACATGTTTTTATGACGCGTCATGACGGATCAATTTTAAATCAGTTTCAACAGCATTATTTTATCCTTTGATTCGTGTTTTTCGTTTTCCCAATTTCCGTTTTGTTTTGGAGCAAAAAATTTTCGAAAATGATCGAAAAGAAAAACGTTTTTAACGGATCAGTCCCATTTTTAATAAAACTAATGTAGACAAAATTGGAAAAAAATTAATGGTTAAGTTATCACCTTTATCCGTTTCCAACCCAACCGGTTTCGAAAAAAAAAGTAGTTCACAGACTCACAGACAACAACGGAAAATACTTCGATTGCGAGTCGATCCATACTGTACGTTCAATCTAAGTTGGGAGGTCTAAGGAATGTCATGCCGTCCATAATCTATATGTACCGGCATAATGTTTACTTGTATTCAGGGACCCGGACCGGACCGTTTTTGGACAGAAAACCGGACCGGAACCGGTATTTACTTGTGGACCGGAACCGGTGATTGGTTTATTGCTTTCATTAAAAAATAAACTGACAAATTTTAAAAAACACCCACAGGTTTTTATTTTAGCAAAAAAGTATTGTCTATCCAAGTTATAAATATTATTTTGTTTTTATATCTTTTAAAATATAGATCAAAGATGTAAATAAAAAAGGGGGTTGAATTAAAATTGACCCAAATTAAGCAAAAAAAACTTGTTTAGTGTTGGGCTAGCTTAAAATATGAAAAACAAATCCTTAGTCACAGAATTAAAATTAAACAGGAAGTTAGTTTAATCATTATAAAAATAAGTAGGTACATACCTAAATCCATCAATTCTAATTTTTTTGAGCCATTTGTTTAACTTTGCAGACTTTCTAAAAATATCTTCGAGCTAAAATAAAAAAAAAACATATTTATTATATTTTTAGAATAATTGTAATTGTAATTATTATTTATTTATAATATTATATAGTAGTATTTCATTAGGTCTAAAGGGCTAAAGGGACCATAATAAATTGTTTTATTATTACTTGTACCACAAAGGTAACATATATCTACAAATACCAATACGTAAAAGCGGCCTTAAGAAAATTTGCGAAAAAGACTTAATTTAAATTCTGCTTGCGCAGAAATTGTCTATTTAATGTCATTATAAACTCATATAAGTTTGGTGTGGGTCCCAATGAGATATCGGTATACCCAAAATCCAGAATCCGCCACTGCCATGTGTAACTAACGTCTTCTTTGTTCGTCTGTCACAGCATAACTAAAATAAAGTGTTTTCCCCCGTGCATTGAAATCGCTTAGTTATTTTTGCCGCACCCTTTATAATGTATATGTAAAAACAGGGGGCACAATTTTTAAGAAACCTTTTAGTTCAAAAGAATGTTATTTGTTATATGGAACACCCTGTATATATACAGGGTGGCCGATTTATCTGAAGACATTGAAATATTTCGAAAACTATGCATCGGATCAAAAAAAGTTTTGAATAAAATTTGTTCGCCTGGAAGGGGGACATCCAATGATACCAAAGTCGACCCCTCACCACCACCCCATGGGGTGGGGGTGGGGGCAACTTTAATATTCTAAATAGGAACCCCCATTTTTTATTGCAGATTCGGATTTACTATTAAAAAATAAGTAACTTTTATGGAAAAACTTTTTTTAAATTCCTGATAGATGGCGCTGTAATCGCGATTTTTGGGAATATCTTGAAAAATTGCAGATTCGGATTTCCCATTAAAAAATATAATTAGTGTATACGAGAATTGTAAGGGAATTCAAAATAAATTAAATTAATTAATTCCTTTTGATGTTCCCCATGGGGTGGGGGTGGGGGCAACTTTAATATTCTAAATAGGAACCCCCCATTTTTTATTGCAGATTCGGATTTACTATTAAAAAATAAGTAACTTTTATGGAAAAACTTTTTTTAAATTCCTGATAGATGGCGCTGTAATCGCGATTTTTGGGAATATCTTGAAAAATTGCAGATTCGGATTTCCCATTCTTGGGTAATTTTAAAAATAGATGTTAACTTATTGATATACGAATAAAATCCAAAAATTAAACAAGTTTTTATTTTTTTCGATCCGATGTGTAATTTTTTAAGATATTCCCAAAAATCGGGTTTCTTGCGATTACAGCGCCATCTATCAGGAATTTAAAAAAAGTTTTTCCATAAAAGTTACTTATTTTTTAATAGTAAATCCGAATCTGCAATAAAAAATGGGGGTTCCTATTTAGAATATTAAAGTTGCCCCCCACCCCCACCCCATGGGGTGGTGGTGAGGGGTCGACTTTGGTATCATTGGATGTCCCCCTTCCAGGCGAACAAATTTTATTCAAAACTTTTTTTGATCCGATGCGTAGTTTTCGAAATATTTCAATGTCTTCAGATAAATCGGCCACCCTGTATATATATACACTGCGCGTCAAAATTAACGCATAACAATTTTAAAAAATCCAACTCTAAAAAGCCTTCACCAATCTTAAAAATCTTTTGGATAAAAATACTTCAACTTATATCTCAGTTTACGTTTTTAAGGGTTTTTCGAGAAAATATTCTTGAAGCCCTTTTATTTAATAATAAAAAACGCTCGAAAAAAATTTTTTATAGGACAAAAATATGCTGTGAAAGACCGTATTTTTTTTAGGATACCCTGAAAATGTTGTACAAATCAAACAAACAGTAACAAAAATACAGCGCTTCAAAGTCGTCAAAAATGACTACTTTTCAGCAAAATAATCAAAAAGGGGTCATTTTTACCGACCTTGAACCGCTGTATCTTCGTTACGTTTCGTTTGATTTGAACAAAATTTTTAGGGTTTACTAACAAAAATACGGTCTTTAACAGCATATTATTTATTTTCTTAAAAAAAGTCCTTAATAGTTATTTATGTATCAAGGCAGTAAAGTCGTATTTTTTATCACGAATGTGAAAATTATTTGCAGAGGCGAAAACCGAGGCAAATAACCACGTGAGTGATAAAAAATGACTTTAATGCCGAGGTGTATATTAAATTTTATCCGAAATCACATTTAATAATACTAATAATTAATATTGATGATCAAATTTGATTTGATTAATCAAATGTCATTTGAATGTAGGAAGTGTATACGTATACTGTTTGTTGCGACGTTTATGATATATTTGCCCGCCGCAGCGATTTTTTAATCTAATTCACTAATATATAAAATAAATAATTAATAAAATTAACTAAAACAATATTTTATGAACGGGTCCAATCGACCACCGCGACGGTGTTTTTTTTTAATATTATTTAGTTGCTGCTGAGTAGCAGTAGACACATCTTAAAATGTATAATGGGTTGCATACAATACTCTCTATTAAATCAGCAGTAAAGTTCTACTTTACTGCCGATTTCGGATAAAAGTTATTTTTTGAACGTTTATTATTATTAAATAAAAGGGCTTTAAAAATATTTTCTCGAAAAACCCTCGAACACATAAACTTATATATAAGTTGAAGTTTTTTTATACAAAATTTCATAAAGATTGGTAAAGGCGTTTTAAATTTAGAATTCTATTAAGATTAAAGATAAATTGAATTTGATAGAATTTGCATTTAGGTAAGTGTTGACACTTACACTCATACTTAAAAAGTAAATATATAATATTTGTATTATATTAAAAATATTTGGACGCTTTTCTGCAGAATGAAAACAACACTATGATGAAACTGAGAAAACAGCTATCAAAGAATTTAATAATTTTAAAATTATCTGTTAATTCTATGCTGATTTTGGACTTATGGAAGTTTAAGAAATATATGTAATTTAACAATTTATTTATGTGGAATTTTTGATATGTGTAAAGGTATTGAAAAAATAGGCTTTTGTTGGTTGGTTTCTTTATGGAAACTACTATTTGATTATAAATCATGTACATGTATTTAAAGAAATTCGACATTTTTTTATTTTTAAAGGTAGGTATTTAAAATGGAATTTTTTTACTAAAACCATGTTTTTTGTCCGGAAAACTTGGAAAACCGCCTCAAAGAAACATGCAGACTCCAAATAACATTTCTAGATTAATTATTCTTTGAAAAATTAAGTTTAATAAGATATAACCAAAATATTTGCTCTTTATCTATGTCATCCCAGGTACAAAGCATAATTTTAGGGATATAACATTTATTTTGACTCAGAAAAAAGTATATATTATCAAGATTTAAAAATACCCCCGCCAACAAGTTTCCGGTCGAGAAGTCCGACCGATGTGCTAGCCCTACCGCTGCATCGCGCTGCTTTCCATTGTTGCCAGATGTATGGGCTTCGTATACTCCGTGATACTTATACAGCACTGTATATAATCCTGTTTGACTTATGTGCCCTCTACCGCTAAAGCATTGGAACTAAAGATGATAGTAGAGGATCCCAAGTAAGGTCGACCTTCACCCATCTGCTTACCAGATGAAAATTATATTTTATCAAATAAAATATGTTTCTGAACATAAACCAATAGGGTTGCCATAAAAAATATGATCAAGGCTAGCTATAATAAATAAAAAATTAAAAAAAAATAATTAATTTTTTAAATTTCACCGAATTGCTTGCCAAATGAACGAAATTCCAATGGAAAGCATACAACATACAGAATATGTAACAGCTAGGTTGCCTACCTTTTTCTGGTCCCTATTACCTGGTTGCTTTGTACAGGGTGATCCCCTATAATGTCGCCCCCCTTTAACTTTTTTATTTTAAGTGTCCCAAAAAATTTAAAAGTGTGGTTATGTAGGAACTAAAAAATACTTTTTTTCTACGTATAAAGAAAATTGGAAAATTGATCAGTATACAGGGAAAAACAAAAAGTTTATTTTTTTTCAATGGATCACCGTATATATGAATTTATTTTTCGAATCCTTGTAAAATTCTGAGCATAATTTATATAACAAACCATATACCTAAATTCAACCGTTTCTGAAATATTCGCATTCGAAATGTCATCATTAAATGTTTTTTAAACTGTTAGAAATCAAGAAGCCTTAGTATACCAAAATTTTTATTGAAAATAAATTACTATAGTGACATTATGTCAATAAGTGTTGTTAAATCAGTGTTGTTCCCAGCGAAAAAAAAAGCGTAACAGATTTTACAGAAAAAAGTAATAGATCCCTATAAAATGTAATAGATCGCCATTTTTGAACTACCTATCATTATAAAAATAAAGAAATTTGTTATTTCATAAAGGTAAAGAGGAGGGGGATTTTTAAAATAATAAAACATCCACATTATGCATGTTTTGTGAATAAAGATTTTATTTAAATATTTGTTAACAAAACACGTTCAACTATGGGTTATTTTATTTATAACTTATTTTTTATAATATAATGATAAGTTTTTATTTTATGTATAGTGCAATAAAACACTGTCAACTTAATGTGTTTTATAAAATCATATTTACGATATTTAGATACTATAAACAAAATGTAACCAAGAGGGAATGCGACGTGAGCAAGTTTCTTTGTGTTTTTAAAAGACCACACAAGGGGTCGAGAACTGCGTCATATTTTTTTTATAATTTAAAAGGGCTGACCAAAGATTATCTTTGGGGCTGACTACTCAGTTTTTTCTGTAAGAGTGGCAGTCTGCTCTTGTTATTTTAGTTATTCATTAGCATTCAACCAAGTATCATCTCTGTATTAAAATGAATACATCTCATAATAATAATAAGTTGTGTTTATTGAACAACGTTCCTGTTGCACAAAAATCCAGTCAACCAATTTTGCATACGGAGAATGTTTTCATGGATTAGTTTTTAAGGAAACTTACTTAAGCTCAGTACACAGGTAATTGGTAGGTACTTACTTATCCATTTTATCAACGTAACACTAAAGTTGTCAATCAGTTATAATATGTAAACTTTTAAATTGTAATTATTCTGTGAATACCACAAAATACATAGGCAAGGTTTTCAACTCGTCTACGAAAATGATGTTAGCTAATGCAAACTTTTTTACAGGGACTTCGTATTTATCGTATTCGGAAAACGGTATTCCCTTTGTTTCTCTAGCGTTATATATATATATATAATTATTGTTGAAAAAAAAACGGACAAATCTTGAAAATGTAATAGATTTATTAATTTTGTAATGACGTAATAGATTTTTGGCCGTTGTAATAGATCTATTACAAATGTAATAGACGGAACAACACTGTGTTAAATAAGTAAAAATGGCGTAGGTACTCAGACAGAGAAAAACAAACTATTTCAACTTATTATCTAAAAAATAATTTAAATATTTCAGAAACGGTTGAATTTAGGTATATGGTATGATATATGAAATATGCTTAGAATTTTACAAGGAATCGAAAAATAAATTCATATATAGGGTGATCCATTGAAAAAAATAACCTTTTTGTTTTCCCTGTATACTTATCAATTTTCCAATTTTCTTTATACGTAGAAAAAAAGTATTTTTTAGTTCCTACATAACCACACTTTTAAATTTTTTGGGACACTTAAAATAAAAAAGTTAAAGGGGGGCGACATTATAGGGGATCACCCTGTACAAAGCAACCAGGTAATAGGGACCAGAAAAAGGTAGGCAACCTAGCTGTTACATATTCTGTATGTTGTACGCTTTCCATTGGAATTTCGTTCATTTGGCAAGCAAGTCGGTGAAATTTAAAAAATTAATTATTTTTTTTTAATTTTTTATTTATTATAGCTAGCCTTGATCATATTTTTTATGGCAACCCTATTGGTTTATGTTCAGAAACATATTTTATTTGATAAAATATAATTTTCATCTGGTAAGCAGATGGGTGAAGGTCGACCTTACTTGGGATCTTAGACTATGAATATTTTAATATATTTGGATGACATTACGAAGCCCACCTTTTACGGCATTGAAACTAGGGGGCATCACTTAACTCTAAAACAAAACTATACACGGTGTTTTTAGAAACCCTTTTAGGTTATGGCCCCCTACTAAAGATTTACACCGTTTTATTAAACTAAAAAAAAAGAACCAGATGGCTAAAACACTAGGTAGGTTTTATAATAAAGGAAAATGAACGATGATATTAGGATCGCGTGATTACCTGTGTTTTTACTTCGTTGGACAAAATTTGCCATTCTTTAGTATTTCTGTCCAATAATTCTGGTGTCCATTTTACGCCATCCAATAACTTAATAGTTCCAGCTAAATCGCAATCAGTTTCACATGTTCCTGGTGTAGTAGGCCGAATAGTTGTTGTCGTTGTACTTGTGGTAGTAGTGTACACTGTGATTTCCTCTTCTTTTTCTGTTGTAGTGGTTGTACTTTTTGCTGCTTCAAGAAGTTTTTCTATTGAGATTGGAGTTGTGGATGAAGTTGGCCATCCGGTAAATACTGTTGTTGCTCTAAAATAAATATAAAATCAGTTTGTGTTGGTGAAATATTAAAGGTTAAACTATGTTTCATCTAAACAGTTTAAAATGGGGTATTAATATAAATTAATAATTACAAGTGAAGGGGTCCTAAGCTTTAAAAAATAACTAAAACAGAAAAAATTCTTAACCTAGGCTTTATGATCTTTTTGGTAATGTCTTGCAAAATTATACAATAAAGATGTAAACCTTTTAATTATTTAAAATCAATTGTAATGCAATGTAATATATTTTTTAAAATATAGTTATAATAATTAGTAGATTATTTTATTTTAATTAATTTCTGGTGTGCCTTATTTTTTCTTTATTTTCTCTTATACCTTAAATTTTTTTCGGCGACAAATTGTTAAGAACTTAAAATCCGATAGAATTAAACGATCAACGAATAAAGAAATGACAAAAAATGCGTGTATTTTTGTTACTTGAAATGAAAATATTCTTATAAGGGGGCATACATTAATTACGTGAGGTGTTTAGGGGAGGAGGGGGTCGAGCCAAACCTCACCCAATCTCACGTGGGGGGAGGGTGGTCTCGGCAAATATCACGTAATTTTTTCTTTTCGAATGAAACAGTGTAAAATTGCGAGAAAACTGGGTTAAATTAAGTAAACAATTATAAGCAAATTGTTTTTTTAATAAATATAATGGAATCAAGCACAGATTAACTTATTTAGATTAAAACCATGCATTTTAAAAAATCTCACGTGAGATTAAGGGAGGCGGGAGGGGGTCGAGCAAAATCTCACGACATCTCACCAAGGGGGGGAGTCGAAAAATCGCCAAAATTGCCTCACGTAATTAATGGATGACCCCTAACTCTCTTATTATGGATATTACAACTTACCTTGATGGCCATCCAATATGAATGGTTGGCTGTGTTGTACTTCGTGTAGTTAAGGTATTTTTAGAGGTAGTTGTAGTCCTAGATATTTTTTTATTTTTTCTAGTTGGATAGACAACCTTGAAAACTCCTGTCGAAGTAGATGTAGGCGTAGCCATAGTAGATGTTATAACAGAACTAGTTCTATATTTATTAGCATCTGTAGTAGTAGTAGTTTGTTTGTATGTATGTAACTTATAACCAGGAGGTAGGAAAATACTAACATCATCTGCTTTTATATTATATTTTTCTTGATTAGTATGTCCTACTGACATATTTTTTTCAGATTTACTATTGTTATTGAATTTATAATCAGATGGTAATAAACCTTTGTTGTTAAAGTTATTTTTAACCGTTTGTGTAGCTGTGATATCTGAACCTATTTTATAACCAGGAGGTAAAAAAGAACTCAAATCATCACTTGCAATATTTTTAAAAATATTATCGAGTTTTATATTATTGCTTTTAGCCATTGTAGTGGACTCAGGAGATTGAGTGGCAGCTGTGATATCTGAACCTATTTTATAACCAGGAGGTAAAAAAGAACTCAAATCATCACTTGCAATATTTTTAAAAATATTATCGAGTTTTATATTATTGCTTTTAGCCATTGTAGTGGACTCAGGAGATTGAGTGGCAGCTGTGATATCTAAACCCATTTTATAATCAGGATTTAAAAAGGAACTTAAATCAATATTTGAAGTATTTTTTAAAATACTATCTTCTTGATGTTTTTCATTATTTGTAATTTTAGAATCCCTGGTAGTACTAATATTATTTTTTTCAATTTTTGGAAAATACATATTTGTATTTATTGTATCTTGTACAGTTGTGGGTTTAGTTGTTATGGTTGGAATAATAGATGTGTTAGTAGGCAAATTGTTGGAAAACTTGGATGGTAGAAAAGCACTAATATCAACCAGTTTGGCTTGATTAAATAAATGTTTTAAATTTAAATTATTTGGGACTTCGGGACTATTATTTTGTTTACTATTTAAATATGTATCATTTTTAATTTGGGCATGTTTTATTGAACTATTTGTTGCAAAACTAGGCGGTAAAAATTTGCTAATATCCTCAACTGGCTGTATCTTTGGTAAAACCTCCTTAATATTTTTAGTTTTCAAGGAAGGCTTTTTATAACTTGTATCATGTTTTAAATGGGTACTTATATCACTAAACTCAAAACCTATATTTATTTTACTTTCCTCATTATTTTTTTTTAAATTTTCAGTGGTATTGTTTATTATACCATGATTATCTTGTATTATCGTTAAATTGTTTTTAGTATCTTTTAAATCTGCAGTTAGCAATCTATTTGATAAATCAGACTGAACCCTATCTAATTTATCAATTAGACTTTCGGTGGAAGATTTTGATTTTAATTTTCCTTCAATTGTTCCAACCTTTATATTGGTTTTAATTTTCTCTTCTTCATCATAGATGTCAAACAAACGTAACTCAGAAATACTTTTACTAGTTTGAATGGACCCTAATACCATCCAATTATCTGTAGTATCAACGATTATATCGGATACGTCTTCTTTATTAGCCGATAAAGTCACAAAAGATGGTACCACTGTATTATTAATTACACTTTTGGTAGTAACCACTGATATAACAGATTCTAAATTTAAATTGGTTGGTATTGTTTCATAATATTCTGTAACAGTATCTTCATATTCTTTATTAATTCTATCTGTTTCGTCATTGTTATTTGGTAAATTTGTAAATGTTTTTTTAATTATACTTTTATCATCAATTTTTGATAAAACTGCTGAACGATTTAATTTTCTAATTTTGGGTAATTTATTTAGAGTTGTACTTTCTCTATATCCATTATTTAATAATTTTGCATAATTGGGTCTATGCGTCGTTGGAATACTTATTCGTAAAGTATGATCATTATTTTTATACAAATTCTCATGATTAGGTAAATCTTGTGTAACATGTGTATCAAAATCTTCATCCAAAAGGTACGATTCATCTTCATGATATTCATCATTGTCTTCGTAAATGTAATCTTCTGTACTTGAAGAAAAATGTTTTTGACCTAAAACCAGTAAGAAATAAAATAGTATTTAGATTAGGTAAACCAAAGATAATATATTATCTATTATCTTTGAGGTAAACATCAGATCAAATTTTAAACTTATTTTGACAATCTTATTAGACAAGAGGTGTCATTAAGCCAATTTATTTTTAAAATTTTAAGACTAATTATTTAAATAATATAATAATATTATTAACATTTTTATCACCTTTATATTACCTATATAAAATCACACAGTTCGTTTAATTACTTTTCAGCAATAAATAAAATTTAAAAACGATATAGTACTTAAAAAGAAAACCAATAAAAACTTGTTTAAAGAATTATTTTATTTTACCCATTTTACTGATAAAATTTTAGCATAAATGCTCATATCCGCCGGATTATGCCGAAATGAGTTTTTTTTACCGGGGATTAACTTAATTATGTTAGGACGCAATGTTGGAATTGTTTTTTTCTACGACCACTATGTAAAAGTCACTTGATGGCATCGTTGCTTAGAAAATGAATCTTTTCATTGGCAAGGCAAAACACGAATGTAAAGTTATATTTCTGTGTGAAAAGTGACAGGTCTGTGTGAAAAGAACCGGAAAGCATCGTTTGACATTCAGCTGTCAAAAAAGTTTTTAGGTTATTTTGTTTTGTATTTAAAAATAATAAAAAATAAAAGGGTCGCAGAAAAAACATTGTGTTATACTTGTGAGAAAAGCTTTCTTCAAAAATTCGCTTTTCAACACTTGTAAAACAAATAACTATTAACGAACCACCTACCACACATATTCAAATTTAGCGCCATAATTATAATGCTTTAAGTCGTTTTTTCGCGTAAATACTATGAAATACTACGGTTAAATAAGTCATGACGTCACAGTTAATTCATATAACCATGGTTAGGTTTCTAACATTTGACATTTGTTTACTTGTTCATAACCTATAATTTTTAAAATGTGTTTTTACCTATTTATATTTAATTTCTATGCTTTTACAGGTGTAAATAAATTTCTTTGTCTCTTCTTTTACCTTGTATATTCTTTTTCTATGAACCCTAGTTCTTATACCTACCTTTTCTATACCTCTTTTTATATATAAACAGTTCTTCACTGTTGTTTACCATAATTAAAATCCAACAGTGTTTAACGTTTATACGAAAATTATTATTGTGAAACTCTAAATTTAGAATGGAACCCCAAAGAAAAAGACGAAGGTTGGCGGTATGTTTTGGAGAAGATATGTTTAGCACACAACATTATTCCTACATAAACATATTAAATATATATATTAAAAAGAGAAAGACTATTAACCACGTTGAATAACTAGCTCAGCGATATAGTTTTATGGTCTGGTATTTGTGACGTCATAGTTAAGATTTTTGAACGCACTCTAAACGCAAAAATGCCTTAACTATTAACCAAGGTTAAGTTTAATGACCATAGTATTTCATGGTATTTACGCGAAAAAACGACTTTAGACTCTAAAGTTTAGTGGTTCGGCAATATATATTCAGAATAAATCCTCGAGGATTTATTCGATCGATATGGGCAAGTTGATAAAATATCATTGTGGTGCCTTACTTTATAGAGATATTACATATTATATCTCTGGCAGTGCCGTCATAATGTCATATGTAACGGTTTTTTTTAAGAAATTTGAGATTATTCTGCAATACAGAATCTGCATTAGTATTATTTTAAATGTTTTGGTTTTTGTTATACTCGGGTAAGTAAGATTTTAAATATATTATTTTGAATTTGATTACCTATAGGTAATAGAGTATACTCTATTAAGTTTTTGTTATATTTGGTACGCTTAAAAAATTAGGTTATATTTTTTTATTCAATCTTGTTTTTATGCAGCCATAAATGCATGTTACTTTAATTTAATTTCGAGCTTGCAGTTAAATAATGTTCAGGCTATTTATTAAATAAATACAATGTATAAAACTTATTCCTGTAATTGGGCCATGTGCCTGTTGGACATAAATAAATAAATAAAAAAATATATAATAAATTACTTGCATGAATAGGTAGGTAATAAAGGTTATATGTAATAGAATAGTTCATTTATTTTAATATTATTTTTTTCTGTATAAATGTCGAAATAATTGGTTATTTGGAAAAAAAAAATTTAAATCATAAATAAATACGATTATTAAAGAAATATAAAAATGCAGTTTTTTTTAAATATCCTCAAGTGACCTAAACCTGATATTTTGTTTTGTTTAACTTTTAACAACTTTTTTTGCTTGATACTAAAACCTAAATTTCATTTTAAAAGTTTTTGGAAAAAGTACTTTGTTATTTATACTTGTACTCTTGAGTACTTTTGGATTTTTTTGTACTTTGTACTTTGCTCAAGTACATTTTTTTCAAATTACTTGTACTTTTACTCGAGTACTTTTTTATTGTACTCGGAACAGCTCTGAAATTACCTAAAACCATTTTTAGTAATTACCTAGTTTTGTATTTAAATGTTTTTAAGTTTTAAGTTGTCTTTTAACGGCGAATTATCAAGTCATCAAGACAAAAAATTTATTGTTTAAGCAATCTTTAAAATAAATTGTGCAGGTTTTATAAAAAAGGGTAATTGCGATGCAAAACTTCATATTTTTTGCCGAAGGTGAAGCTTTTTAAACTGATTATAATAATTATTAATTGTTTAGGTACCACTTACACCCATATGCAGTAAATTTTTTTATATTTTATTTATTATTTATAGGAACACCGAATACCCTGTTTCGATTTTTTCCTGGAACGACAATAAATTTCTTATTTTCAATTAAACACCCTTTTTTTGCATTTTTAGATTTAACACACTTTAAAGACATCATATAACTATCATTTATTTCAGTAAACTAAAGATTAAAACATTTTTTTCCAAATGTAGACAGTTAATAAAAATTATTATTATTTATCTTAGGAGGTTTTATTTTTTTCACTATTAACTATGAGTTGGTAATAATAACAAACTTGTAGCTTATTAAATAGTTAAAAAAATATAATATAAGATATAACCTGGTTATTTTTAAATTTTAGAAGCTGTCTAATTCTATGTATTTTTCAAATGACCTATATCCTATAAATTTTTCTTAATCCGAAAACTACCGAAATTTAGGACTTAATTACAGTCCGTTCAGGCTAAGTTGAGCGCTTTGGTGGGGGATCTTGTGACCGTTGATTAAATTAAATATCTAATCCTCGCAAGATTTCGGTAACAAGAAGATGATTTATCAGTGCCGGGGCTTGCGGTTTGTTAGTACAGAGCGGCTACCGAAATACATGTATTTAATTGTGACTAAACATAGAGATGATGGACGGGGTGACATTCCTAAGACCGCTCAACTTAGCCTGAACGGACAGTACTGACACTTAACTTATATATATATATATATATATATATATTTAAATTAAAAATATATGTATTATATTGGGAGTTAAATAAAATAAAAATTAATAATACGCGCAAAGCCAAAAACATGAATATTTTTTTACTGCTAGGTTTAAACCTTAATTAAGTATGGGACATATCGTCCAAATTATCACAGGACGTATCTTAAATTTAACAATTTTAGAAAGCATTTTCAATATTAAAAGCTAATTTAAACTATTTTTTAGAAATAAAATGTTCTACTATTTTATTATTAACTTTAACACTATCCACTAAATCCGGAGTGTCATAAGCTTCTCCCTTGAGATTGGAATTGGTCAGATCCATTAACCAGTCTCAAGATGATTTGATGTCACAAGCAAATTTGATGACAGAATATGAGGCCTTACTTAATCCGTATGTCTTTGTATTATCAATATTTAGGGTAAGATTGTTTTTCCTGATAATTATAATCTAGCTTGCTAAATATATTTACTGTAGTGCTTTTTGCTTACTTTTATTGTTGTGCCTACAGTCCCGGAAAAGGGATACATCTGTACACAACACCACCCATTACAAAGACAGATCATATGTGATCATAACGAATACAAATACAAATGTTCTTTTGACAACCGAATTTTCCCGATAAAAAAATGTTCTACTAGGTATTACATTAAATGTACTACCTGGTAGCACTTTTTTTTATCGGGAAAATTCGGTTGTCAAAAGAACATGAATTTGTATTTGTATTCCTACAGGGTGTTAAAGTTAATAATAAAATTATGGTCCCGTCATAGGTTTTTTATAAGTTTGATGTTATATTCAGTTTAAGCAATTAAAATACAACTTTATTGCCCTTTGCATTTTTTCTCTATCTTGCTTAATTTTCAAGAAAAAAATTAAATTCGTTTATTTGTTATCATAATTTTTTCAGGGCCGAGCAAATAAACGAATATTAGTTTTTTCTTGAAAATTAAACAATATTAAAAAAAATGCAAAAGAAAAAAGTTGTATTTTTAATTGCTTAATCTAAAAATAATATTAAATAGTAGCGCACCAAAATTTTATTTTTAAATACCTAGTTCGGATGCCCCAGCGTCGCCTCTGGATTTACTAAATAAAATTTAAAAGTTTTATTAAACCCGGCTAAAAAGTTTTTTAAATTAAAAAAAAAATTAATATTCCTTTAATAACTTTACCATCCTGTATCTCGAAAACTAGGCTTTAAAACATACAAGTTTTTCTTATTTTTGCGACTTCTATCCCTAGCTAATTTTTTTCCATTAAAATCTGAGACACCTTTTATGTCAAAAGAAAGGAAATTAGTTTTTCTATCAAAATAAATAGGGTGTTCCATTGAAAAATAGAATTATTTTTAACATTTTCTACGGGGTGTAGAAGTTTTTTGTATTACCATTTGGTTATTTTTAAATTTGAAGAAAATTTGTTTAATTATTAAATATATTTAGTTTCTTTAAAAGTATATCTTAAAAAGTGTGTATAATCCAAAAATGCAAAAAATACGGGGTGTTTTTATTAAAAATAACAACCCTGTTGTAAATGCCATATAAAATCATATATGAAAAATCACTGCTGGTTCCAATATGATCCTTTATGATTTCTGAAACAGACATTCC